TACCTTCTTTAAAAGAGCTTGTGTGTCCTCCCTAGTCTTACACATCTGTTCTGTAAAGTCTGTTACAGATTCAGAACTACTGTTCCAGTTCAGAACTGACCTCTAATACAAATGTCTCTCATAGTTGAGGAAGAACAGAGACTATCCTGTTATAAAGTGTTACTAGTTATTGTGTATAAATTCTGTCAGAGCTAACTATTGAGACCAATCTGACTACTGATGATTAATAAACATCTGGAGGTAGAGCTCAATCTCCTGATTGACTTGCTCAGTTTGACTATCAGTCTGTAGGTAATATGTAGTAGAAGGGTTTCCTTGAATTCTGAGAAGTACATACAAGTCCTATATGAATTTTGACTCAAATTGTTGTTCACAATTGTGAATAAGCTTCTGAGAGAGTCTGTACAACTAGAAGACATAATCCTGATAGATACATACTATACCTTTAGAAGTGAGTTCTGTTTAGGTTGGAACTGTATAGACTTACTTAGAGAATCAGTCAACAATTATACAGATAGTGTTGTAACCCTAAGACTTAGGTAACTTACTAATCAGGTCCACTAAGACTTCTTCCTAAGAGTGATCTAGAATCTAATACAAATGTAGGGGAGTCTGAAACCTTGTCTAGTAGGCCTTAGTCTGTTAGTATGTATTACAACCAGTTATGTACTTCAGGATTTCTCTCTGTATTCCTAACTACTAGTAGTTCTAAGTAATGAGTTCCTGTGTTTTGTGTTAGCCCAGATGTCCTACAGTCAGATTGTTATAATGAGCTTAGACAATGTCCTCCTACAGCTTCTAATCCTTCAGAATGTACAGTCAGCCTTCCTAGTAAACCTGTCTATCCTTATTCTCCTCCTAGCCCCTAGCCTACTTCTCTAACTACTTTACTACAACCTGGTCCTGTATGTGTCTCAGAGCTTACTATTATAGTAATTACACTCTTGTACTGAGAGTGTACAAGTGCACTCCTTACTATGAAGGTGTTGTGAGTACTTATAAGTGTTTTTTTGTTACTAGTTAGCCTACTTGTATTTACTACATATGTAACTATATATAGAAAGAGTCTTCAGACTAAGAGTTAGAGGTTTCTTTTCCCCTTTCTCAATACTCAATTACTGATTATCCTAGTCAGTGTATTGAGTGTGCTAGTAAAGAAGAGAATTTCCCTTATGTAAGACTATTCTATATATCCTTACATATTTTTGACTGTATAAATCAATCCCCTATCAATCCTGCTAGGTTGTAAGTATTGTCTAGGATCTGATCAACCCTTAGTATTGTCTTATTGTCTAGCACAAAGAGCAAGTAAGTTTTGAAAGAGATTTGTAGAGAGAGACAGTGACTACTTACTAGTTGACCCCTAGTGAGTAAGGATAATCTGGAGCATAGTAAAACACTTTCTGATTGTAACAAAAACCCTTATTAATATAGTACAATGTTCTAGACATTGTAAGGACATTCCTAAGGACAATGTTAAAAACACTGAGCACACATATCCAGGTTTAGAGGACATAGTAAGTAGTACTAACATAAATGCTAAACATTTAAACTACTTAAGTACTACTTCCTACCTTAAGACAGTGATTTCAATACTGAAAGGCAACCTTATCATTCTAGTAAGCTCATATTTGTCTAACCAAGTCCTTACTATTGTCTCAAAGTATAAGTCCTTGTCCCTTGTAGGCTTAAGGCAAAAACAATTACAATCTAGTAATAAGTCCATGTCTATTATAGGCTAGTAGTACACTAATGACCTACCAGGATGTAAGACATTGTCTCTTAAAGGCTGGATACAACCTGAAGACCTATTACTGTTGAACTACTATAGTTACATTTGTATAGTAGTACATAGAACAGAGACAGAGCAAATGAGTGTGTATATAGGTAGTACAAAGGGTGAAATGTATACAAACCACACCTAGAATGAGACTAGCATTAAGCTTTTTACTAGTAAAGTCTTAGGAAATAACTATCAGATTACAGTCAAGGAATTGAGTAATTATGTAAGAGAACAATTAGTATGTACAAGAGACAAGAAAGACACAAGCAAGCTTACATACTAGGCCAAAAAGGATCCTGTTAGGATTGCAGGAGTGGACTTATTTCATTTTCTTCATATTTCTATCAGTGTTGCAAAAAACCAATATTACTACTAGATTTTCATAATCCTTGACATCTTATCTATTGTTCTACAAAGTTTTATAGAGATTGTATCAGTATTGAGCACAGGAGAGAGTTACAGAGACACAAGGTAGTACATATAATTACAATACAGCTAATCCATTTCTTGCCTAATATAGTAACTTGTGCCTCTTTTGTGTAATGGCCTCTTAGCCTATATTCCTTAATACACAACACTCTGTTAATTCTTCCTAGCCTCTGATGTGCCTGTTGGCTTCACAATATTTGTTCTTATTATCTCTTTTATCTTATTCTCAAGTTTCATTCCTTAGTTTACTCTTATTATTTAGTTATTATAAAAAGCAACTTATAGATACAGTAGTTCCTTAGTTTTTTGACTCTTCTTGTATTCCTACTTGTTCTCCTAGCATAAATCCTAGCTGGTAGCTTTGGGAATAAAGTTGGTTTAAGGGCTACAAGTTACATTTACAGTTTGAGAGTACTATTAATCTAGAGAACACTTCTCCCCTAATATAAGAGTTAAAAAACTTGTCTCTACCTTAATACTACTCTTAGTCTGAGCTGCTGCTCAATCAATACTCTCCTAGTCCAAGCTACTGCTTGACTATCCTCTTTATCCAATCCTACTCTCCTTTGAGTCTGAACTACTGTTCAATTTGTCTTACATATAGTTAGAGCTACTACTCAACTATCCCTAACTCAAGCTACTGCTCAGTCACTCCTCCCTACTCAATCTGCTCCTCAATCTGCCCAATCTGCCTAATCTGAGCCACTACTTGATTGGTTTACTTAAACTGAGCCACTACTTGTTTGAGTATTTCTTACCCCCTTTATAAACATACTTTTACTTTCTTAAAGAACTATTAAACTGATTTACCATTCCATTAATTCTATATTGTCCCTCACTCATTTGTTACTTCATTTTCTATTATTTTATACTCTACTCTCAAGGTTGTATCACTGTCATCCTTCACTCTCTTTCACTCTTTTGAGTTTGTGTGTAGTCTTTACAATTTGCATAGCTACACTCTTTTCTAGATGCTTTTTGACCTACCACTTGTGAAGCTCAACCCCTAGCCTTTGTTTACTGGTTGACTAGAGCCTCTCTCAAGTAGCAATACCTTTAGGGACCTCACAGTCTGAAAGTCCAGCATTGTCTTACAGTTATTTAGTGTTATTGGATAAGAGTCACTAGATTGTGCTTAGAATAGAGTACATATAAGTAGCTTAAGAGTTTAAAACTGAAAGATCAAAGTCACCTAGACAGTAAACTAGTTGAAGGAACTGTTGCTAGAACTTATACATTGTTCATAGTCATTCACACTAGCCTCTGACAAAGACCCAAACGTTTTGGAGCTTGCTCAAGCATTTGAAAGAGTATTCAGTACTTCAGAAGTTGATTCATTAGAGCTAGCTTTAGGAACAATGTCAAATCCTTCAGAAAACTCCCTTACACTCTCTCACAAGCCTGTACTACTCTAGCAAGGTGTATATATGTACTTAGACATACATTCAGTCTCCCAGTTGATTACAGAAGCTACTAGTCAAGCTGTAGCTGTAGTAATATACTATACTCCTTCTAGAAACCTTAGAAAGATTACTACTACTCCTAGAGAGTATAAAGGAGGTAAGGATTATTAGGACTTTAAAAGAGAATGTCTCCTATATATTCTAGCCAACAAAAGAGCCTTCTATAACAGTTAAAAGAAGATACTCTTTGTACTTTCTTATCTAAAGGAAGGGACAGTTACTGTATAGACAGAAAATTGGGTTACTCAAAACACAGACACTAATGGCAAGATTCTTTGCACACAAACATTCTAAGAGTTTATTGAGTAACTAGGGAAATCATTTGATGACCCTAGTAAGAAGGAAACGTTTATCTAGAAGCTTAGACAACTCAAGCAAGGAAATTACTCTGTAGATGTCTTTTTCCAACAGTTTGAGATTCTTAAGACCAAAGCTAGACTGAGTAGTAAAGTATATAATACTATATTGATTGATTTACTTTAGTATGCTCTTAATCCTGAAGTACTTTGTCAGTTAATGTGTCTATTACTAGTTCTAGGTATTTATGAGGAATGGAAAAAGTATGTAATTCAGATTGACAACAATAAAACTTGACTCAGAGAGACTCTTACATACAGGGGACTCTCTGATAGACAATCTGACAATTGTCTACACTTCAATCTTCCCAACAAGGCTCACAACTCTCCTCAATCCAATCCTACTATGCATTTTAAAGCCCTAAATGTACAGACAAGTTCTCAACCAACCTTACATCCTTTCAGGTCAACTCCCAATAGAAAAACATTCTTGGGAGCTAGAGAACCAATAGACATCTCAATTAACAATACTAAGAAAAATCGAGCTTGTTACATTTGTAGAGAGATTGGTCACTTTGTCAGAGTTTGTCCTTCTCAGTATTAAAGAGTTAGGATGATTCTCAGAGCTATAGGACCCAAGGAGAGGTTTGCTTTTGTAGAAGTAATGCAGGAATTAGAGGAAGGGGACTTCATAGATGAAGAATCAGATGAGGAACAGGTTGAGGAAGAGGAGTCTTTTGTCAATCCTTAGGCATAGACACTATATTGTCTGAGAAAGAGCTAGAACAGTGTTACTGTTATGTAAATAATTGATACTAGACATCTGAATCAAATATAGATGACCATTGTTTGTACTATGACACTCTGGACAGTGAAGACTCTTATTTCTTTAATAAACCTCTTGATTCTAAAGTCTGTGAAGAGGCAGAAAGTGTAAGAAAGGTTTTGAACATCCCTTATAGACTTGTAGGCTCAGTTTCTCCTAGGGAAGCTTTGTACATTTGCTCTAGCACTGGAAGGCAACTGGATATGTTCTTGACAATTAAAACAGATTATGGACTCATCAATACACATACTCTGATTGATTCAGGGTGTACTGGATCATACATAAATGTAGGTTTTGTCAAGAACAACAAGTTAACAATATATCCTTTTAAGAATCCCTTCCTAGTCTTTAATACTAATAGTACAAGTAATGATGGAGGTCTCCTAAAGGACTATGTTGAAGTGGAACTCTCTGTTAAAGTGTATACAGAGACAATTTGTCTGGCAGTCACTACACTAGTATCTAGTAATATCTTTCTAGAATATGATTGGTTAAACAAGCATAATCTGGAAATTGATTGGGGACAAGGTATTGTGTCCTTTACTAGATGTCCAGACAGTTGTTCCATGTCCTTGAATGAAGCAGAGACGTATCCAGATGTCCCAGAGTACTTAAGGAGAACTGATGATGATCCTACCCTGGTTTTTACAATCCCTTACTATCTTGAAGTATACAAGGATGTATTCAGTAAAGAATCCTTTGAGCAGTTACTAGAGCATTAATCTTAGGACCATACTATTAATCTAAAGCCGGATTTTAAGGCTACAGATTGTAAAGTATACTCTCTAGCTCTCAGAGAACAAGATGTGCTCAAGGATTTCATTTCTGAGAATCTGGCTTTAGGAAGGATTCAATATTCAAAGTCCCTCAAAGTATTGCCTTTCTTCTTTATCAAGAAGGAGGATGGATCTTTGAGACCAATCCAAGATTACAGAAAGCTTAATAAAGGTACTATTAAGAACAAGTACTCTCTACCTTTAATTCAAGAGCTTCTGGATAAGGTCAAAGATTCTAAGTACTTCACAAAGCTTAATGTATGCTGAGAATACTATAATATTTGAATTAGAGAGGGTAATGAGTAGAAGGCAGCTTTCAGAACGAATCTAGGATTGTTTGAGCCTACAGTCATGTTCTTTAGTCTCACAAATGCTCCTACTACATTCCAGGGCTTTGTAAACAATATCTTTAGTGAATTAATCAATGAGGGATTAGTTGTTATCTATCTAGACAATATTCTCATCTATTATAAAGATATTAAAGAGTATAGACACCTAGTTCAAAAGGTTTTTACAATCCTACAGGAGAATCACTTGTTCCTTAAGCCCTAGAAGTGTGAATTCGAAAGATCTACTACTAAGTATCTTGGACACATTATTAGGAACAACAAGATTCAAATACACCTGAAAAAAGTAAAGCCTATTAATGAATGGCCAGAACCAAAGAACTTGAAGTAGTTACAACAGTTTACTGGTTTCTACAACTGGTATTGCAGATTCATTAAGGACTATAGCAAAATAGCTTGTCCACTCACTAAACTAACTGGGAAGGTTCCATTTACCTGAGAGAAAGAGTAAAGAGAGGCTATGGAAGAGCTTAAGAGACAATTGAGCTTACAGCCTGTCCTTACAATTCCAAATGAGTATGATCTCTTCAGAGTAGAAGCTGATTCGTCTAATTATACACTTGGAGCAGTCCTTTCTCAAAAGCAAAATGGTGTATGACATCCTGTAGTATTCAGATCTCAATCTCTAAACCCTGCAGAGTGAAATTATAAGATCTATGATAAAGAAATGCTTGCTATTATTGAAGCCATTAAGGACTAGTGCCAGTACTTGTTGGGAGCAAGACAAACCTTTAAAGTATGGTCTGACCATACTAATTTGACATACTTTAAGGCTCCCCACAAGTTAAACTGCAGACAGGCTTGCTAGAGAATAGAACTGACAGACTATAACTTTGTTTTAATGTATAAACCTGGAAAAACACTTGTAAAAGCAGATGCACTGTCTAGAAGTCCTCAATTTAATAAGGGAGAGCATGATAACAAAGATGTTACCTTTATTAAAGACTCCTAGTTAAGAGGAATAGTGTATACAGGCAGTAAAGTCACTCTGTAAAAGATCCAGGATGCTTAGAAGGAATTATTAGACAAAGGAGAGGAGTACCTAGCTAGTATACTTATTAGAGATGACTATATGTGCTGCAATTCAAAGATATATGTTCCATTAGACCTTGTACCAATGGTTCTGAAGGAATATCATGATTCCCTACTTGTAGAACATTCAGAGTATAGGAAGACACTTGAAATGATTCAGAGAGAGTTCTAGTGGCTACAGATGAGGACAAACACTAAGAAGTATGTTCAAGGCTGTGATAAATGCTAAAGAACGAAATCCCTACACACTACAAGACAAAAGGCATTACATCCTCATAATACACTTGCTAGACCTTAGCAGGTAATATCTGTTAATTTAATTGGTGAATTGCCTGAGTCTAAGGGATTTAATACTATCTGTGTCATTGTGGATTGTTTCTTTAAGCAAATACATACTCTTCCAACTACTACAAAGGTTACAGCTGAGAGAATGGCTAGACTGTACAGGGATCAAGTCTTTAGACTCTATGGATTACTCAGGAAGATTATACATGACAGAGGACTGTAATTTGATACTAAATTCATGAGGGAACTTTACAACACTCTTCATATTGAAGGGAACCCCTCTACAGTATATTATCCTCAAACTGATAGTCAAACTGAGTGTATTAATCAAGAGATAGAACAGTATCTTTGCTTGTATGTTGACTATAAGTAGTCAGACTGGGCAGAATGGATTTCTATGGCTGAGTTTACATATAACAATTGAGAACACTCTACTACAAAGTTCTCTCTATTCTATATCAACTCTGGAAGACACCCTGTAGGCTTTGGATCAGTTTTGACTGAGACTAGTACATATTCTGTTAAATAATAGGCTAAGCATATTAAAGATGTTTAGGAACTTGTAAAGAAAAGCCTGGACTAAACTGTTAAAGTTATAAAGAAGTACTATAATTGTTATTCAGGCCCCTCTATATAGTACAAGCTAAAAGATATAGTGTATTTAGACTTAAGGAATATAAAGACTACTAGACTTACTAAGAAGTTTAATAACAAGTAGTTTAGTCCTTTTAAAGTTGACTCAAAGGTTGAAGCTAGTATATATAAGCTCAAACTATCTTAGGGATAGTTGATTCACCTAGTATTTAATAAGATTCTGCTCAAACTATATATTCCTTAAGTCTTTAATATTCTCCTCCTCCTTTACCTAAACTTATAAATAATAAGATTAAATACAAAGTTGAGACTATTTTTGACTCTTAACTCTACAAGGGAAAGCTTCAGTTCCTTGTCAAATGGGTAGGATATTAGGAAGCAACTTAATAGTCTGAAAATAACTTTACTTATACTCAGAATACTGTTAGAAATTTTTATAAAACTTATTCTAGTACTCTAAAATAACTAAACATTCTAAAGGGAACCTTTAGAGACTTTGACACTTTACTTAGGCAAAATAGCCCCTATATTCAGTTGTCCAGGATGTACAACCTAAGGAGAGAGATAATGTTAGAACTGTAGAATTAAACCTATTTTATTTTCTTTATATCTTAATTAGTTTTACAAAAAGCATTTATACATCTAGAATACTACAAATACAGTGTATAGTAAAGAACTTACAGAAGAACTGAAATGAGTTTTCATTTCAGTTCACAACACAGCTAATCCATTTCTTGCCTAATATAGTAACTTGTACCTCTTTTGTATAATAGTCTCTTAGTCTATATTTTTTAATGTATAATACTCTGTTAATTCTTCCTAACCTCTAATATGCCTGTTAGCTTTGTAATAATTGTCCTTATTATTTCTTTGATCTTATTCTCAAGTTTTATTCCTTACTTTACTCTTGTTATTTAGTTATTATAAAAAGTAGTCTGTAAATACAGTAGTTTCTTAGTTTTTTAACTCTTCTCATATTCCTACTTATTCTCTTAGCATAAATCCTAGCTGGTAGCTTTGGGAATATAGTTGGATTAAGGGCTGCAGGTCTACATTTGCAGTTTGAGAGTACTATCAACCTAGAGAACACATCTCCTCTAACAGAAAATACATGAAAAAGTAGTCATTTTTACTATATCTTAGTCAATTTTTACTCAAATTTAATGTTTAAAGTGTCTATTTGAAGCTAATTTAAAACATATGAATTTACAAGAAAAAGTACTCGATTCTGTCCAGATTTGAGTGAGGTATAGCATTTTCTTTTGTTTTATCACACTTGTGTCAAAAAATCACATGATTTTCCATTTTTGCAATACTTTTACAAATGGCTATAACAAATTTAGAGTACTTTAAAACTTTAAACAGGCTTTCTTTACTAGAATACAAGTGTTTAACTAGAACAACTACTACACATATAAATTAGTTAAACTTTTAAGGAATTGGCTAAATCTTGTAAACAGGCAGAGAACAAAATATATACTTGAACTAACTATAGTAATAATGTCCATCATATTCTTATGTTCCTACTAAGCTATATAAACATTAGATTGAAGTACACATATACATTACTGTGTTAGGAAAACGTTACAGAAAAGTGTAACTAAATATGCATTGCCTCCCAAAGTGCCTCTATATTAACACCCATAACATACTGCAAAACTCTCCCCTTCCAAGTATTCTCTGTACTACTCAGCCACCACCACTGTTCTTCAAAAGCATTGTTGTTTCCCTCAGGGACGACAAAGACAAGTTTCCATGTCCAATGCTGATAATTCCTCCCCCACATTTTCCAGAGCTTCTTTATGTATGTGTCATGTATCAGATGTTTGGTTGCTATTGTGAATTGGAAGAGGACGATCCCACAAATGGTGTTGTTGTCAGATACTTCGAATGTGTATGCATTGATTCCAGCAGCATTCTTAGCAAGCAGTATGTAGTATTGGTTAAAGCACTCCAAATTGACTTGCTGATCATGCTCTGCAAAGTTGTGAACACCTGTTACATGCAACAAATCCAACTTCTTGCTAGACAGATAGCTGATAGACTGAATGGTGAACAGTGTCTTTGTGTTGGCCACAATATACTTGTGACCTGTAACTTCGAACACAGCACTGGCAGATGGTCTGAACATGTTGGAACAGTCTATAAAATTTAGAAAGGCTGATTGTAATCAGACCCAAAATTGAGTATTGTTCTTGTCACATAATCTGCCCAGAATTATGCTCAAGATGATTGATACAGTCATCAATGACTGTTGAACTTCACTGTTCTCAATTGCAGGGTTGATTTGAATAAGCTGACTACTTGTTAGTACTCTGTGTGTAGTGTATATGCTTATGCATGTAAATTCTCTAACATATACACATACACACGTAAATGTAGAGTCTGGAGGAGCTATATGATACACTAGTAGTGTATACAGTATATACAGTATATATGCTTACAAAGAAGGTATATAGGTAGTGTAGTTACTATAGACATTGAATATAACTAAATAGACTTGTTCACTGCCTTCAAAGTATGCTTTACCATCATCAAGTCCTCAATAGTTCCAGGGCAAAGGCTTGAACAACAAAAAGCAATAGTATCTTGTCCAGATGAGAAGATCTGTTCAACAGTAACAGAAGAACCTGTAAAACAGACCTGAATATTATTTGAAAATGATGCAAAGAACAACATACCTAGAATACAATGTATATCCTGAGCAAATAGTGATAATAAAGGAAACTGAGCACATTGGCCAGCCCACCATTTGACAGGGTCACAGTCTGTCCATGACTGTTCCTGCTTCATGGAGAAGTACTCCTCAAGCTCAGTGTTACTGTTTGACAGCTTGTTGGTGGAGAAAAGACTTGCAATATCATGTACACTTGTTTCAGTGTTGTCCATGAGAGCATCTGAAGAGATTGCATTGCCTTGATAACAAATAATGTAAGTTGAATGAAAATGTTCCTCAAGTGTATGCTTTGCCTCATTGATGAGTTGTAGCAGTCAGGCATCACCAATAGCATTCTGTTTCATTCCAGAGTATGAGATATGAGGGTCCAAGACTAAGGATATAGACAAAAGTATAAGTACTGATGAGCAAGAGTAAGGTAACAACTTATGTGTAGCCCATAAGTAATAAGGTGATGCAACAAACCAGGTAAGATAGTCAGCAAGTTTCTTGTGTGCTGTGTGTAGTGTATCTTTTAGTTGTAGTGGTGCAGTAGCAGGAAAGTCTTGTATTGCTTTGCAGAGACTGTTCTGGAGGTGTAAAAAGTACCCATAGGACACTAGTGATGGAGTGAGAGACAGTCAGGGGGTGAGAGGAATGCTAACTGTACATATCATCATGCATGCAAAGTTTGAGTTTAAGGGCAGGTACAAAGAAGCAACCTATCTATAAAAGGCTGTTGAATCGATCGATGTCAGATTAAATAGGGAGAACTGCTGATCTCCTAGGTCTCTTGTGTACTGTGTATATGTTGTATACACTGTATACAGGATTTTTTGGGGCAAAGTATACACATACATGTGTAAAAATATGCATGTATTTTCAGCTCCAAAAGTCATTTACAATACACTGTGTAACTGTATATGCTGAAGGTGTAACTGTAAATTACACTACAGTGTGGAGCACTACTGCTTGTATCTGTTGGCACTGTTTGTTGCTGACTGATTAAATTGTTGAGCAGCTGTCAGTTGGTAATTGCTCTCTCCAGCTCATTCTTGGCAAAAGTTTCTTCCTTGTTGAGCAAAGTTTGTGCTGACCCTCCATAGTATAGTTGCTGAAGTCTGGTCCTGGTCCAGTCTGGGTGTACTTCACCTGGACTCAGGACTGGACCAAAATTGTGGTCTGGGAGTGTCCCAGACTGTGGACTGGACTTATGTGGACAGTTACTGGACTGGACCCAAGTTCCAGTCCAGTGTTGGACTGTCCATGACCAGACTTGAGAGAACAATTTGAGAGGTGTCAGCACATTATTTTTTGTATCTAAGTACATAGATAATATAAATAATTATGAAGCCCCTTGTAATAAGTCTTTAAGATTTCTATGGATTCAAATGTTTCAGGCAGTAAGCAGTTTTGCCTTTTGGTATCAACAAGTCAAATCCTTACAATCGTCCAGGCATAGCTTATGTAATAGCTTCTCTGTCAAAGGTTTGCAAGTTTGCAATACTGCTCCCAGCACTGGAGAAACGTCAGACAAGAAGGAAATCAAAGTTGTAATCAAAGAGACTGAAAAGTAAAATGGATTTCAGAATATGTACTACAAATAATTCTGTGCTACAAACAATCACACAAAACATTCAAGTCCAGAGTCCAGTCCGAGTCCGGACTGGTCCATCGGTCCGGGAAAGTTCTCAATTTGATGGACACAGGACCGGACCCCCTTGGACCCATGAGGACTGGACTGTAGAGGACCGGTCCTCAGGTCCAGTCCTGCGTCCGGACCGAGTCCGCTGGGTCCGGGACCGGACATCAGCAACTATACTCCATAGATCCTATATTCTTCAGCCAATTGTTTTGGAGAACGCCGCTGTTTAGCCATACGGCTAGAAACATGCTTCAGTACTAAGTTCTGAGAGCAATAGAGTGTGCTTACCGAGACAAATAAATCCCGCGCCATGTCCACGTCTGCATGATAAACCTCGACGGCTTATGATTCTTTTCAAAAGTATGATATCATGACCGCATAGGGGACGTTGTGACTAGCATTTGTACCCCAGAACGACTCGGCGTTACGGTTGAATGACTCGCGTTGCAGTCATACAGGATCAGTGTCTCGAGGGGTTGTTGTATAATCTCGTGATTATCGGTCCGGTCGTACAAATCTCGTGGAAATTTGTAAACGCCTTCGTCCTGGAATAAATAACACTTGCTGGGGTTTAACATCAAAATCGTCTGCTTTTTCTCGGTAAGTCGAGACAAAAGACAGTAGGTCAGATATACAGTTTTGCTTGGTTGTGGCGTAAGTCTCCTGTGTCCATCTGTTGTAAAAAGGTTGTACGAACCTATGCCCGGTTGTCCAATAACCAGTACATATTTGGGCGCTTTTTCTGTGACGAATTCATCAAGCTTCTTGTACTCGTCCCGGATCATAAACTGCGTTGCGAAATTTGCGCCCATAAGTTGTATATTGGTTTTCGGCCAAAACGGTAGTTTTTTCAAATTGAAAAAAGTAACTGGAACTGGTTCCTTGTCCAACACTGATCCCTCATCCGACACTGATCCCTCATCCGAGAAAGGAGGGAATTGCACAATACTTTTGCAGCACATTGAAAGAATGTGGGGGGAGACGCAACACTTAAAATTTTCAGATTGCTACTTTACTCTTTATATATGCGTATATGCGTTGACCCTAAGTCCCTAAGGGTCAAACACTCCCCTGCAAGCCTGAACAATCTAACTAACCTGCATGCTAAGACCAATAAGATTGATAAGGTGCTTGATCTGCATGACGTATAAGGTAGTAGCCCATCTCAATTCTCTTGCAAGTTGTGAGTTGTGCACAGCATGTAAGAAATATGCCAAAAATGCCAAAGTGCCAAGATGAAAATCGGGTGGTTAAGATGGGGATCAGGTTGCGTGCTTGCCTAAAGTAGTAGTCAAACGCGCAACAACTCGCAAGCACTCTGGAGTGCTTGTGAGTTGTCGGACTTTGAAATTAAATGATGTTTCTTGTATCCCTTACTTGTTTGTCCACTCAAATCACAAGAAATCTGATCGACACAAAATTCACAACTCAATCATCTCAATTCTTCCTAGTTGTGAGGAAACTCGGCATCAACCTTACCAGGGTCCTCTACAAAGCTGAGCTTCCTTGCAACTTGCAACTCGTAACAGAATTAAGATGGGCTAGTGCTCTGCACCATAGCATAATTTACAGTTATGCCTTCAGCGTATACGGTTACACAGTGTATTGTAAATGACTTTTGGAGCTGAAAATACACACGTATTTTTACATGCATATGTGTATACTTTGCCCCAAAAAATCCTGTATACAGTGTATACAACATATACGCAGTACACAAGAGACCTAGGAGATCAGCAGTTCTCCCTATTTAATCTGACATTAATCAATTCAACAGCCTTTTATAGATAGGTTGCTTCTTTGTACCTGCCCTTAAACTCAAACTTTGCATGCATGATGATATGCATGGTTAGCATTCCTCTCACCCCCCAACTGTCTCTCACTCCATCACTAGTGTCCTATGGGTACTTTTTACACCTCTAGAACAGTCTCTGCAAAGCAATACAAGACTTTCCTGCTACTACACCACTACAACTAAAAGATGCACTACACACAGCACACAAGAAACTTGCTGACTATCTTACCTGGTTTGTTGCATCACCTTATTACTTATGGGCTACACGTAAGTCGTTACCTTACTCTTGCTCATCAGTACTTATACTTTTGTCTATATCCTTAGTCTTGGACCCTCGTATCTTATACTCTGGAATGAAACAGAATGCTATCAGTGATGCCTGACTGCTACAACTCATTGACGAGGCAAAGTGTACACTCAAGGAACATTTTCATTCAACTTACGTTATTCGTTATCAAGGTGATGCAATCTCTTCGGATGCTCTCATGGACAACACTGAAACAAGTGTACATGATATTGCAAATCTTTTCTCCACCAACGAGCTGTCAAACAGTAACACTGAGCTTGAGGAGTACTTCTCCATGAAGCAGGAACAGTCATAGACAGACTGTGACCCTGTCAAATGGTGGGCTGGCCAATGTGCTCAGTTTCCTTTATTATCACTATTTGCTCAGGATATACATTGTATTCTAGGTATGTTGTTCTTTGCATCATTTTCAAATAATATTCAGGTCTGTTTTACAGGTTCTTCTGTTGCTGTTGAACAAATCTTCTCATCTGGACAAGATACTATTGCTTTTTGTCGTTCAAGCCTTTGCCCTGGAACTATTGAGGACTTGATGATGGTAAAGCATACTTTGAAGGCAGTGAACAAGTCTATTTAGTTATATTCAATGTCTATAGTAACTACACTACCTATATACCTTCTTTGTAAGTGTATACACTGTATACACTGTATATGCTACTAGTGTATTGTATAGCTCCCCCAGACTCTACATTTATGTGTGTATGTGTATATGTTAGAGAATTTACACACATAAGCATATACACTACACACAGAGCACTAGTATAAGGCTTTTGTAAGGATATCTGCTGCCTGATTCTCTGATTACACATAGTGTACATTGATGTAGCCATTCTGAATATAACATTACACAAAGTCCTTACATAGATCAAGATGTTTTGTTTGTGTGTTGAAGGCAGATTCTTTGGATTTAACAGTTTTGATTGTGCCCTGATTGTCATAATAGATTGTCAGTGGTGCTGATTCTGTCTGCAGTACTTCCTCAGCAAGTTGTTTAAGCCAGATGGCTTCTTGAATCATGTATGCCAGTGCTTGCAACTCTGCTTCAGAAGTTGATAATGGTACCAAGTTCTGTCGTTTACTAGCCCACAATATGGTGCTGCTCCCAATTTGGAAGATGTATCTGTTGATTGATTGGTGACCTTTGGTCATTCAGCTGTCAGCATTGCAGTATCCTTGTAACGTAGGCAGCTTTGTTCTGCTGAGATGCAACCAGTAGTTTGTCGTTCTGTGTAGATATTGGAAGCAATACTTTACTGTGTTGTAGTGCTGCATGCCGGGTTTTTGTAGATAGTGTGCTAATTGACTAGTAGTATACAAAATGTCTGGCCTTGTACAATCAGCAATATATCTTAACAATCCTACCATATTCATGTAAGGAATTGTCTGCATGAATTGTTTGTTGTCATTGTCATCATTTGTATTGTTTGTACTTGTTAAGTACATCCTGAGTGCCATAGGTATCCTTAATGGCCTTTCATTTTTGAATTTAAATCATTGTATTATGTTTTCAGTGTAGTGTTTTTGCTGTAAGCTAATAATTTGTTGTGATCTATCTCAGTGTATTTCAATACTGAGTAGCCAATGAATTTTGTTACTGTCTGTAAATGTTACATATTGTTGTAAAGCTTGTTTGAATGCATTTACCATGGCAATGTTTTCACCAATTATAGTAATATCATCAACATGCATAAACAATGTTAGGACTGTTGCATTATGCTGTTTCTTATAGAATACAGTGTTATTGTAGTTTGCTTGTTGCATACCAATCTTTAATAGAATTTCAGTAATCTTTTTGTACTAATGTTGTCCTACTTGTTTCAAGCTGTAAAGTGCTTTATTTAGTTTTAATACCTGTCCTGGCTCAATATTGTTAAGTAGTTTGCCTAGAGGAGGTTGTATGTAGATGTGCTTGTTATCATTTAATTCACTGTAGAGATATACTGACTTGACATCAATTTGATGTATCTTGTAGTCTTTAGAAGCTGCCCAGCTTAATAGTAATTGTACTGTTGTTAATTTCGTTACTAGGGCAAATAGATCATCTGAATAGAAGTCTATTCTGTCTTTCTGAGCATAACCTTGCACTACTAATTGTGCTTTGTATTTGTCTACTTTGCTGTTAGCAAGTCACTTTATTTTGTAGACAAATTGTGTTCCAATAATATTTGTGTCTGTAGGTGGATATGCATAATCCCATGTATTATAATTCTTTAAAGACATAATTTTGTCATTCATAGCTTTGATCCACTTGTCTTTATCTTTTCTTGTGATAGTGTTGTAATACATTAATGGATTGCTATATGTTTTGTTGATAAATTCATTGAATTCTGTAAGGTAAATTGCAAGGTTTAATGCTTCATCATAGTTTAATCCTCTCACTCTTTTGGTTGTTTGTTGTTGTCATGTAGACTTGCATAGTTGTTCATTGCTATTATTGTTGTTGTGATTACTAGTAGCATTATTATTTTCATTGTTGTTTTTGTTCATTGTATTGGATTTCTCCCCTACAATTCTAGACATTTGTTCATCTATGAATTGGATGTTACATTCGATTGTAATTTTATTTGTATGCCATACTATGTGGCCTTTATTATCATTGCCATATCCTAACCATCTAGCAGTAATACTGCAAGGTTGTAGTTTGTGTGCATGTTTGTTTTGTATAATACAATGAGTACTGAACTCTCATAGTATATTGAATATGAATTGCCTTTTGAATCATTTAAAATAAGGCATAGAAAAATCGATTGTAGTGTGTGGCATTCTGTTATGTATGAACGTTTGATATTGTACAGCATATACCCATAGCTTCACAGGTAGTTGAGATAATAATAAGTATGCTTGTATACTGTTAAAAATTGTTTTGTGTATGTGTTCTGCAACTCTGTTTTGTTGCAGGGTATCATGTACTGTTAATTGCTGTATTGTTCCATAGCTTTCAATGTACACTGTAAATTCATGACTTAGAAAGACTGTATTGTTGTCACTTTGTAGTATTTTTACTTTTACACTGTTTTGTGTAAATAGTTTTATTGTATGTTTAACATATTCTGTAAATGTGTCACTCTTATGTTTCAGTAGGATCATTTTGACCTATTGTGTAGCATTATCAACAATTGTAAACACATAGTTGTACTGGCTGTATACCTGTATAGAGGCAGGTCCCCAAATATTAATGTGCAAATGTTTGCCATACTGTTGTGCAAGAGACATAGTGTGTGTATACAGTATTGGATTTTGCTGTATGTTTGCTTGTATGCAATCAGTACATTGAGCACTTTTATTGTCTGTTATCTTTTGTTCTATGATCTCAGGATGATTTTGTATGATCTTTTGTAGATAGTCAAAATTGACATGACCCATACATTTATGTAGTTCAATAATCATAATAGTGTTTAGGATGCAATGGTGCAATATTATTACATATAGGTTATTACAAACATGTATTTCACCAATCTTTTTATTAGTAGGCAAGTAGACTATGCATAGGTTTCTTGTCTTCACAAGATGATATCCCTCAGCACACAAGAGTGCCTTACTGATTAATGTAAAGCTTAGATTGGGGTGATAATAGATGTTGTGTAGCATTAGCATACTGTTGTTTACATTCGTTTCACCTACTTTACAGTGTAGATTGTATGTCATCACTCTATTAGAACTGAGCATGAGTTTGTTTTTGTTTGCAACTGTAACATGAATGGGTTTCATAGATTGTATGTTTGTTAATCAAAATCAGTAAGGCATAGTGTGAATGTTTGTGCCTGAGTCAAGTATATTAATACAATACATTAATTGTGTATTATTATGTTGTAATTGATTGATACATATGTTAGGATTGTAACCCTTCATGAATTTGTCAATCAGCAATGTTTGTATTGTTTTAGCAGATTGTACAGATTGCACAGGTAGTGTACTGTCAATTTGCATTTTTACAGCTTGTACAGATTGTACAGTATTGTTCAGTATCTCTATGCTCACGTTTTCGATTTCTACAATAGAGGCTGATGAGTTTGTAATCATTGATTGTAATAGCCTAATAGACAGGTTTGTGATGACTGTAGTAGAATTACCACTAGGGACAAGTGATGTTGTCATTGTTGTGTGTGTGTAAGGTGCCTTCTTTTAGTATGCTTCCTTTGTAGCATCTGTAGGAGGCTTACAGCAGTCCTTAGACATATGTCCAGGCTTATCACAATTGTAGCATTTCATTGTATAAGGCTTTGTATTGCCACAGCCACATCCTTAACCTTAAGCAAAGTTATTTACATACTTATGTACTGTTCTGTGGTTCTGTGATTGCTACTCAGCAAATACATTGTGTAGCTCAGTGATTAACTTGGCTAGTGTGAGTACTTGGCTATCAGCTGCCAATATTGTAGGTAGGCTATTATACAATGTTATCTGCTTATTGGCTACAGAAGCTACCCATTTGTACTTGTTTGGTATTGCCAGATTTATGGCTGAGATATACATATTGTTGTTAGGTGCTTTGTTATGAGCTGCAAGCTGTGTATATGTCTGCTTGATCTTGTCAAGCATCTTGTCAAATTGGGAGACGTGTCCTAAGACTGTGAACAACTGAGACAAGTTGACTGCTTGGGTCAGTACTGTCTGTATGTTGTAGTGTTTGTTGAGCACCTGTATGAGGGCTTTTGTCATAGTATACATAGTTACATTTGTATAGACAAGTGGACTCATTGTCTTTGTGAGACAATAGTAAATTACCTGACCCATATGTATACTGTTTGTATTGTTTGACAGTGGGTCAGTCATAAGGTGATTGCTAAGCAACATTGCTGCTAGCACGTTTGTAATGTAGAGCCACCATATTTTAAAAATTTTCAGGCCTGTAAGCTTCTCAATCCTATCAAAGAATTTGGGGATCCTAACATCTTTCAGCATTGAATTGCTGAAGTTTAGTGTGCTCTTTGTCATTTTGTATTGTCAAGTGTCTGTTAGCTTCTCATTTGTAGCAGGCTTTGTAGTAGTCTTGTTCATAGTAGACTTCATAGTAGTCTTGTTTGTAGTAGACTGTGCAGGGGGGACAATCTGTCCTTCACCCTTGTTGTTGGTGCCATACTTATATGCACTAGTCAAGGCTCATAACCTGAAAGAATGTAGGGGGAGACACAACACTTAAAATTTTCAGATTGCTACTTTACTCTTTATATATGTGTATATGTGTTGACCCTAAGTCCCTAAGGGTTGAACACACATTAATTAATGTAAATCAGTAACAGACACAGTATTGGTGCATGTTTCTTGTAAAGTAAAAATATGAAAGTACTATTGTTCTAGCTGAAACAGACATTGAGAAGAACAGGTACAGTCTACACCCTACAAATCTATAGTTGCTAATGTCCAGTCCCAGATCTAGCAGACTCAGTCTGGACACAGGACTGGACCTGAGGACTGGTCCTCTACAGTCCAGTCCTCATGGGTCTAAGGGGGGTCTGGTCCTGTATCCATCAAATTGAGAACTTTCCCAGACCAATAGACCAGTCTGGACTCAGACTAGACTCTGGACTTGAATGTTTTGTGTGATTGTTTGTAGCACAGAATTATTTGTAGTACATATTCTGAAATCCATTTTACTTTTCAGTCTCTTTGATTACAACTTTGATTTCCTTCTTGTCTGACGTTTCTCTAGTGCTGGGAGCAGTATTGCAAACTTGCAAACCTTTGACAGAGAAGCTATTACATAAGCTATGCCTGGACAATTGTAAGGATTTGACTTGTTGATACCAAAAGGCAAAACCACTTACTGCCTGAAACATTTGAATCCATAGAAATCTTAAAGACTTATTACAAGGGGCTTCATAATTATTTATATTATCTATGTACTTAGATACAAAAAATAATGTGCTGACACCTCTCAAATTGTTCTCTCAAGTCTGGTCATGGACAGTCTGAAACTGGACTGGAACTTGGGTCCAGTCCAGTAACTGTCCACATAAGTCTGGTCCACAGTCTGGGACACTCCTGGACCGCAATTTTGGTCCAGTCCTGAGTCCAGGTGAAGTACACCCGGACTGGACCAGGACTGGACTTCAGCAACTATACACGAATCTTCTTCAGTGTCTTCTCCAATACTCGGTTATTATCCACTATCCTGATCTTCAAGTCTGTCTTGTGTTGACCATCTGTCAGTTCAGGATTCAGCTTGACAGTCAGATAACAAGCTTCCCCAGATCTTCCACCCCAATCAAAGTCGACCAACATCATTTCCTTGTTGGCACAGATGATGTTTGCATCACACAGATTGCTATGAACAAATTCTGTTTTGTGAAACAAGTCCACAAGATGCTACAGCTCACTTGCCCACTGCTCTCAACAATCAGACAGCTTTTGTGCACAGAGAATTGGTACAGCTATTGGGTAATAATCCATTGTGACTACATGCCAGCCACCAGGCAGTTTGTCAAAACCATGTATTTTTGGTGTGTGACCCAAGTCAGCACAAAACTTGTGGAGATCTATTGAGTACTACTGTACAAACTTCACAATGATCTCCTCCTTGTTGTCTGTCTCAGCAATGTACAAGAGCTGGGAGTCTTGTTGATCATCATACCATTTGGCAATGCAGAAATTAAGTATAGTGTCTGTACAGTCGTTGTACTTTGGCAGCAAGTGAATGTAGGGGAAAAGAATGTCTGCATGTTGATTTACAAGCACTCCTTCATCAAGGCGTTCGATGTCTTCTTTTATTTGACCCACTAGGACAGACACTACAGTGAATGCTGCATATAGACCTTTTCTGTCATGACCATTGCAGGCAGATCGAACACACGATAGTGTGGCAGTCAGATTGACAACTCGAAACTTGCCACCAAGGAAAATTACTGTATAGAATGCAATATAAGGGCCTGGAATATTTTGTTCGTTGACTGTGTGCCCCAGCAAAAGCATAATAGGCTCACTGACAATAGTTAGACCAACAGATGGTAACCTTGATCTGCCAATTAAGTCTTGCAGACGTTCATCCCCTTCCATCACTGTTTTCAATTTTGATGCTATATAACCTGTTCCTTGGACCATTGGAACTGTCTTGCTTGCACAAGAGTGGTTTTTGATCTCCTTGACAAATAACATTATTTCGTCCTTTCCCCAAATGTCGCCATCTGATTGTTGATTTTCAGAAACAGCAGATGCTGCCACTCTCACAGGACCTGCGAAGGTAGGCAGGATTCTGTTAAGAATCATTATTGCTACGTCCCTCCTGGACTCCTCACGATTATAGAAACAAGTCATCTTCTCTGCGAATTCATCAACAGCCATCTCAAAGTGTACAGCATCCTCCCTACTTAAGACCGGGGCCTCTTCATCACCTTGATAGATATCTATGAAACGTCCAAATCCAGCATATAGTAATGTAATAGGAGGCACATCGGTATCTGGGTGGGGTCGGTCGTCCAAGATCCTGTGACCAGTCTCTTGATTTTTTTTCGTATACCAATGGTGTAGCAAACGACGATGGCGCCATGTTAGCAACTTTGGAGTGCTTCAAAAATTCGAATGGGCTTTCTTCACTAGGACGCGAGCATTTGGCAGGAACGACTGAAAGGAGTACATACTTGATTCAGTCAGAGTAATAATATCTATCATCTTCTCATACTCTAAAGTAGGTCCACCAGAGAAATACTTGTTCAGACAGTTTAAAGAATCCAAAGGTGTCTTCTCTCTACTATCATCTGCAAGTTTACAAAGAAGTATACATAAACATTGCTGTGTTGGGAAAAAGTCACAGAAAAGTGTAACTAGGTATGCATTGCCTCCCAAAGTGCCCCTGCATTGACACCTATAACATACTGTGAAACTCTTCCCTTCCAAGTATTCGCCCCACTACTCGGCTTCCACTGCTGTTCTTCGAAATCACGCTCGTTTTCCTCGGTGACAACAAAGACAAGTTTCCATGTCCAATGCCGATAATCACGATGCCACATTTGCCAGAGCTTATTTATGAACACGTAATGTATCGGATGTCCCATCGCTATTGTAAACTGGAAGAAGACGATCCCACAAATGGTGTTGTTGGTAGACACTTCGAACGCGTATGCATCGATTCCAGCAACATTCGTAGCAAGTGGCCTGTGGTATTGATTAACGCGCTCCAAATCGACTCGTTGATCGTGCAGCGAGAACTTATGAACACCTGATACGTGTGATAAATCCAAATCCTCGCTAGACATATTACTGAGAGACCGAATGGTGAACAGCGTCTTTGTGTTGGCCACAATATACTTGTGACCCATAACTTCGAAAACAAAGCCAGCGGTTGGTTTGAACATGTCGGAACAGTCTGTGAAATTCAGAAAAGCCGATTGTAACCGGCTCAAAAATTGAGCATCGTTCTTATCACATAATCTGCCCAGAATTGCGCTCGAGATGATTGATGTAGTCATCCATGATCGTCTAATTTCACCGTTCACAATGGCAGGGTTGACTTGAACAAGCTGACTGCTTGTCTCTGCCGATACTGTTCCTCCACTAAGCAGATTGTCAAGCGTTGTACAATCGAGTATT